GTATAAAGAAGAAGTTCCCAAATACCTTGGTTATTTTCCAAGAAAAAAAGGTATGTTTTAAAGCCTATCCCAATAATGGCAAGGACTTGGTCTTGTTTGGAGGTGTGTGCTTATCAGCAAGAGGAAGAAGCGGTTCAATCACCTGTACAGACACCTGATTCTACAGAGACACGCGCGACGGCTGCGTTGATTGTTTTTATTTCATTTTTTAATATCTGCAGACAGCAGCGAAGGGTTCAACCACACCGACACCTGTCCACACCTGTCCACACCCCCACCCCCGCTGCATCCTTGGGGCTTGCTCTCACTTTCACCTAAAATATATATATGTTTGTTTATAAATTCAAATATATATTTAATATCGTTGCTCTCTTTGGGTGACCGATTAAAGCGCACACGCTTTGGCAATAAGTATGCAATAATAACAAGAAAAAAAAGAACATCAACAGCGGCAGCAGCAACAAATATAAATAAACAAAGGCAGCAAAAAAATAACAACAAATAGCCAAAAGCAACAATATCGGTTCGTTACACCGATAAGAGCTTTTCTTCGCGTTTTTGTCAAGGGTTTTAGGAAAGTTCAAAGTTTTCATTTTAGGGAAAACGCAAATGAACTTTCCCCCGATGTGGCACCATAGACTTTTAGTTAAAAACAAAAGCAAATTAAATGCAAACATTTTTGTTGAAATATTTTAAGATTAAGACAAGTTAAAAAAGAATTTAAGTATGCAATAAAATGAAAATATTTCACTTACCTCAAGGTTGGGCCTTTTTCGATGTTTGTACTTCATATTACCTGGAACCAGGCTGAAAAAACAGATATAAATTGAAATGATTTTCTTTTTTCAATATATACAATCTTTCAAAAACAGTGTTACTTTGTCCAGTTTTGTTACTAAAGAATATCAAATTATAGCTTTAACCTACTTTATGTGATTGCATTTTAACAACTCCAAAGATATATATTTTAAATAAGTTAGGCAGCCGACACGTTCTTGAACAATGTACTAGGCTACTTAATTTTAATATTATTATATACACCCCAAATGCAACTTTTGTTTATTGTTTCTGTTTTTGTTTATTTACAGGTGAGTAAACCATCTTTCTAACGATCGTCTGACTGAAAAGAAGTTACTATATCTCTGAGTAAGTGCCGACCGTCGACCTGCCACGCCCCAAGGTTCTTTGGCTTAAATTATGTGCAATAATTTTAAAAACCACTTTAAGAATCGCTTGGAATTTGCGCATTTATCAGGGAGAAAGAGCACAAGACGGGTATTTAGAAATTTATACAATGTATACAATATACAAATACATTTAATTATTTATATTCATAACAATGTTGATATAGAACTTGTTGCGTTTTAAAAACAATTGACATCTTGTGCATTAATTAAAGTGGTTTCTACACGGCAGGAATAAGAGAAGCTGAAAAGGTTGATATAAATTTAATAACAACTTGAATTTACGACTTATTTTCAATGATTATCCCTACTTCTTAGAGTTTCAAAGCTCTTTCTCTCAGTGTAGTTGTTAGCCATCGCTGGGTGTCTGAGTGGGTGTTCCCCAGGGGTGTCTCTAGTAAACAAGGAATCAGGTTCAATGGCCAAAACACACACACAAGAAACATTGCCAAATTGAATCCAGAGCTCTCCTCCAGAATTAACAAAACAAGTTCAATACTTCGGGGGGATATGCTATATAGGCTACATGCTATATAGAATATATAGAATATATATATATCGTATATCGTATATCGTATATCGGGGTGGGTTGTGCAAGGGCGAGGGCGTCACCCCGACAAAGTCATTAACATTCTGCGGAGTTCGGATAACAAATAATTCGTTGAACCCCCGGACAAGTTCAGATAGAAAGTCGAGACGACAGTTGAGGTTGGGTGTGATGATGAAATACCCGGGATTACAAGCCATAATTGGGCAAGGACGCGTGTCGTGGAACAAAGAACACCGCTTCCCAATCGATACTGATCCGTAGATGAAGCAATCATTTAATTGCATTCTATACAGGTTACATAAAGCCCCAAGATACTAATGGTATATGGAAAATAGTTACTTTATTTCGATTTGAAATGTTTTTGCGGTTTGGCCAAGGTCTATGCAAATGCCTTGGAACTTCCCTCGGTTTCGTTTCAAACTTAATCTTGGTCTTGCCTAATACGTAGTTAATTACTAGGGAAAATTTGAAAATATTATTATATTTTGGATAACAAATTATAGGAAAACCCCTGCAAATTACGCCCTTAAAGGTTCTAATTTGCTATTTAATTTGATATAAAATCAAAACTGTCCTCAGCTGCCAGAGGCTCCACATATATAGGCTTTATAATTCCCCAATGTCGACCCCAAAGGCAATCAATATGTCCACATTTAGCCATCCATTATTCAAGCGATTCCCTGCGTTGACAATGTCAAACTTTTCCTAGCTGACGTGGCCCAAAAGTTAAGTGTTATTAGTAGTGGGGGTGGTTGGGTCGAAAAACTGTGACTCTTGCCCTATTCCATGAGGGGGAGGGGGGAGGGGGAGGGGATCAGACCCCATATATATAATAGGCGGGAGGTCCCGGAGTGTACTTCTAATTGCTAACAACAATTCGCTGACGTAGTTTGTGGAAAGTTCGTATCTGTGAAAGGGGTGGCCGTCGACTGAGTCGAGTGAGTGGCAAGTGGGCGGTGGAAAGCGGTGGCCCAGTGGGCGGTGGAAAGCGGTGCCCATGGCTGTTGTGTTACAGTTGCAGACACTCCCTCCACTCCACTCCCCTCCGCTGGATGGGTTACGTGCAGTAACGGCACTGAATTGCCGCATGTTCTACGTACGTGTTTTTTTCGGGCATTCGACCTCCAGGCCCCCTCCCCGCTGACCGTTCACTACCACCCCATTTTTTATTTTAAATTATTTTACCTTTGTTTTTCACCTCCAAAATTGGCTTACACTCGAAATGCTACAATTTCATCATGACTTTCTGTAGGAGTTACATTTCTCGTAAAAGATCTTGTATAGGGTTTCGCCAAAAAGATCTCTTATATCTAAATACTATATACATGTATATATATTGGATTTCTCATAAAGTAATACTCTCTTGAAGACAAGAATATTTGGGTATTATTATATATTACAAAAAAAATAAGAATTAATAACTTAAAAATTGAAATGTCCCTAAAAATAGGAGCTTCATCAATGAACGCTGCCTAAAAAATACAAAATACCGCAACTCGCGTGCTTTTCCTTTATCATTAAATATAAATCACTTATTCTTAATACTTATTGACTTGAATGCAACTTAATATACTTAAATTCTATATTGTATAATTAAGTTAAAGTAAAGACCATTCGGTATCATGATATATCTGTTATAGATAGTCGGGCATTTTGTGGAGAATAATGCAAGCTTTGCCCACTGTATGATCGAGACCGCGTGGGAGCGAAAGAGAGCGGGAGAGCACAAGAGTACACTGGGGAAAATGATTGTATCACTGGTATAAAAATATCAATTCTCACACGTTATATTAAATCTTAAAATTCTTGTCTGCTTATATATTATGTAAAGCATATTTTAAATTTAAAAGATGTTTATTTAAAACATTTTTATACTCGTTATGCCATAATGTATAAAATATAATGCTTACAAAAAGTCATCTCTAAACCCAGTAAAAATATATATTTATGATCAAAATTTCTAGTCGAATTAATTTAGCAAATGTTCGTCTGTTTATCTGTTTACAAATGGAAAATGTTGTTCAACATTTTTATAGCAACATTTACCTAAAATTTCCTCTGTCATTAGACCTGTTTAAATCATTTCTTAAATTGAAGCATAATTATAAAAAGTGAATTAAGCATTTCAGAGTTCCATTTAATTTAACTTAGAATGCTTTGGATAACAGAATTCAAATTAGACATTAAATTGTTAAATATTAAATATGTCAAAATCTATGTGAAGGGATATATTATTTTGTAATGTTTTAACTTTTCAAAAACTCCCATTTGAATTATAAAAATTGTATCCACCCTAACAAATAAGCTTATACATTTCTCTCAGTGTACACTTTCCTCTCTCTGCCGCTCTGCCGCTCTCTCGCTTTCGCTGCGACGCTCGCCGACGTCGACGGCAGCGTCTCGTGCGGCATCGGTTCGCTTCATTCATTCATTCGCCGTTTCGCCGTCGCCGCGCACGCAGCGAATTCACCTGCGCGCTCCCGAATGGAAAGCAAAATAAATAAATACAACGTTTATAACAATAATATTCCCACGACGCCGCGCTTTCGCGAGTGCTATATTCGCAGCGAATCGAATCGAAACCGTTACCTTTTTCATTTTGGATTTTGCCACCCTTTTGCTCCCTTTTAGGCCCAGTTAGGAGAGAAAGAGAAAGAGAGTCGCAAAGCGTTTCTGCGTTTCTGCGTTTCCTGGCGGCCACCGATGCAAATCAATTACGCCAGATTTGCAGTGCAAAACAATGGCGTTGTTTGTGCAACAACAACAATTACAGCAAATACAAAGGCAACAACCGCAACAACGAAAAACAACAGTAACAGTAACAGTAACAGTAACAGTAACAGTAAGAGCAGGAATATCGCAGGAGTCGACACCGCAGGACATTCAAATAGAGCTGGCCATCAAAAAGGAGCCGCCGCAAAAAGCCGCTGGAAATAATTGCAATTAGAAAAGGGCCACAAGGGAAAACATATCGAAACGAAAAAAAGTGTTTGAAAAAAGTAAAAAAAAAAAACACCAGCGAAAATAAAGGAAATTTATTTGAATTTCGAAAATAAATTCAAACTACACATAGGTGGCGCCTGCGCAGTCAGAATAAAAAAAAGTGACAAATTAGAATCCGAAAATAATAAGAAACCGAAAAAATTTTCTTGTTTTTTTGTTCGAGTGCATTTCGAAAGTGTGTGTGTGTACAATAGAGTTGAAATACTTACAACAACAGCAACAACAACAAAACAAAAATTTCTTTATATAAATATATCCCGAAAAAAATATCAAAAACCCAGGAAAACATAAAAAAAACAACAATGGAGCAAATCACCAACTATTTGGCGCACATGGATTACGTGTCCTTTGGCGTTGTGGCACTGCCCTGCGTGGTAATTGTCGTCTATGGATTCCTCCAGGTGGCCAGTGGGCTGGCCAAGTGCAAAAGTAAGTCCAAAAGTGATATTCCAATGGGGATATTATAGAAATCCAAAAAAGTCAAGGGTTACTGGGCAAAAAAAATTGAATTCCTGTGTTGAAAAAGTGTTGAAATTTCGAGATTTATGTGTTAGTATTTCTTAAACTACAAAATAGATAAACGAACATTTTAATTTATATGTTTCTCCTTCATATCTTGAGCTTAAATTAACTCAAGTTATTTTAAAGTTCTAAAGATTTTACACTCTTTAAACTATATTAAAAAAGTTACATCAAAAAAAATAGAGTTGTGCAAAGTTTAAATATCATTTTTTGGCAACATTTTTAAAAGAAGCTCATAAACGAAACATAAAATAAAGACTTTGAAGTTTGCTTTGAAATATCACTTGCCATTTAAAAATGTTAAGTCATGGCTATAAAAACCAACATATAGAAATAGTTTTATGCTTTTTACTGATGACTCATGCCAAGAATCGAGTTCAACGTTCAACAAGTGAGAGGAAAACTCGCATGTGGAAAGCTGCAAGTGGATTTTCAAATAGTTAACTCATTTATATGGCCACTGATTGATCAACTTGAGCATTGTTAGCTGTTAGCTGTTAACTGCTGTTGATACCGCATCAATTACGTTATCTTTACGGTCTATGACCCGGGTTGTCATTAATCAAATTGCAACTTGTCTATACAATATATACATATATATAAGCGACATTTAAGCGTTTTATCAAGACGTTTTGATGTCTCCGCGGAAAGCGATCAAGTAACCGCAAAGATTTTCCCACTTGATTGATTAATTAGCTGGCACAGGCCAAGTACAGGCACTTTTCTTTCAAGTTTCAGCAGTCCAAGCATTCCAAGCTTAACCTAATCCACTTTTTTGCTGTGAAATGGAGCAAATACCCCATCCATGGTGGCATTTCCCAAAAAAAAAACGTTCTGAATTCTTCGCATAATGTTTAATCACATTTAAATGGCAATATTTAAAGAAGAAACAGCTGCGGGCTTTTCCCTAAAAAATTCTCCAACAAAAAAGTGACGCACCTCCATGGGTTCAGACCTTAATTTATGTATATATTTATAGCTTTATAAACTATACACGGGGAATGGGAATCGTAAACGTAAACCCACGGGAAACGACAACAACTCCCTGACCTATCCCTCTAAAATCGCTGAGAGTCGTTTTGTGGCGATAAGAATGAACTTCAATTGCAATCATTAGGGCGGAAAATGTAGCTTCGACTTAATAGAGTTTATTGGTTTCGGTTAGGAGCTCAACTAGGAAGCGATCGTAATCAAGTTATTCGTGTCAACCTAGTAAAAACAAAAAAACCAAAGATATATGCAAATATAAAACCCGATGTTTACATAATAACTCCCGAATGAACCTCTGAGCAACTTTCATTCGCCATTTGGGCCACACAACTAATTTGCATGGCGGAGATAAAAAAACAACTTTAACTTGCTGCTTACTTTCTTTTCGGTTGAGAAAGGTCCGCCCTCGGCGAAGTACATATATACCTGTGTATATATATTCGTAGTCGGTACCCAGATCGGCAGTTAACATTTCCCTCTTTACTCGGCTTTATTTGCTTTTGATTTTGATTTTTTGCCAGCTATTTTCGGGGTTTCCTTGTGTGTGCCGTCGTCGTGCTTATTTTTCGCCTTGCTCTTGTTATTTCACTCTGCAAATTGAGTTCATTTATTTTTAAGTGTAGGCAGTAAATGATTTTCAATAAATTACCAGCCAGACAGGGAGAAAGAGAGAGAGAACTGCACAGCAATTGGCCAAATTAATCAGTTTCAGGGAAATTAATTGCAAACTTTCGAATGTGTTAAAAATGGTTTTCTTGATTTTCCTGATTTTAAGAAAGGGGAAATGAATAAAGTTTGGGCTTTAACTGAAGAATATATACTTAAAATTAAATACAGAACTAAAATCCAACAAATACTGACTAACAATACTTAAAACTTTGCTTAAAGTTGCTTAAAAATCTCTAAACTAAATACTATTTGACAGAACATTTTTCTAAGCTTGAAAATATTTTTAATATTACATTTTAAACAATCAGATATAAGAAAACACTTTACTTATAACGCATAAAATATTTAGATAGCAATGTTTACTATTTTTTTTGTGGAACTTGGTCTTAAATAAACACTACAATCTTTTTAATTTCAAGTATATATATTTTTGCTTGGTCACTCCATTAGGGAAATACTTTTTTCGCACAGGCAGGGTTCAAGTTCAATGCTTTTTTACTTTATTTTTTATCGCGTTGAAGAAGTTTTAGCAAAGGTTGAAATGTATGCACGGTGACAAGATAATTATTTGCATTTTTTTGTGAGGGAAGAACACATCTGTGAGCTCTGATTTTACGCGCAATTTGTTCTTATCATTTGCTAGTATTTTGTTTGTTATTTGTTTTTATTTAAATATAAATTCCATTCCCATTTGCAACAGTTGGGCACCGTGCATAATAGCCATTTTGTTGGCAACTTTGTGGTGGAGGCCCTCCTCTCCAGATGATGATGAAATCCCGCCAAGGCGTCATTTATTATGGTCTTAAATAAATATATATATATATTTGTTTTTATTATTGCCAACATCTGGCGACCGAGACGCGTCGCAAGTTCAAATCAATCATTTGCCGATTAAGTCGCCCGATAAGGCTAGTTTCAGTTGTTAAAAAATATAATATAAATTAAAAATAAGGTACCTAATTATTTCGATTTATTTAGTTGTAGTTTTCAAGCACCAAGATAAATTAGTTGGTAAATTAATAGTTCCTTTTGTCTTATTTATTTCTGCTGCCTGACCCGATTTAATCTCTTTGAATTTGTTATACAATAAATTATGTTTGTTGCTATTTTCATACACTTTTATTACACAATTCGCTGGACAGACATAGAATTGAGTGTGGGATCATATGATTTTGATTATGGTTCTGCGTTTTCTTTTCAATATTTTTGTTTTGTGTTGCTATTTATTTAATTTATTTGAACTGCCTTGCTAATTTGCTCGGCGATTCACAGTCACAGTCACAGGGAGAGTCACAGTGAGAGTCACAGAAATCGGCAATCTGTGAAAAGCTTAAAGAATCACGAATCCGGCATCCCGTCTACGTGAGTTATGATCCAAAGAAGTTCAAGGGGTTGGATAGGTCGTGTGTCGTGACATAATCTTTGTAGCGCCCTCTCCCCTCTCCAAAATTAGCATGGAGCCAAAAGTGAAAAGCATTTGCTTTTGGCCAGGTCAGCTGAGAGAGCCAGGGAAAAAAAAGAAATATATACGTGACATAAGAAAGGTCGCCAAGACAACAGAAAAAAAGACCAAGACCCCGAAGAGTCAGTCTTTCGTTTCCATTTCCAGTTTTGGTTTTTTGTGATGATGATGATGATGATGTTGATGTTGATGATGGCCAAGTCCAAAGCCAAAGCGAAAGTTTTGCCTCACTTGTCTGTATGTATATATTTTTGCTTTTTTGTGGCTTTTTTGTTCGTTTTTTGTTCGTTTTTTGTTCGATTCGAACTTCTTATTTAACAACAGCTTCGTTTTCACTTTGCCTTGTTGTGCTTAGCTGTTTATTTTCTGTTGCCGGTTTCTTTTTCACTTCTCTCTCACTGTTTTTTTATTTTTAGTGTTTTTTCACCTTAATTTAAACGTGCTACAATTTAAAATATGAATAAAAAACTAAGACTGGCAGAGACATTGGCTAAACAAAATTATGAAATTCTCATGCATCATTATTAATTTTGATTAATGATTGTAGATAGTAGAAGCTGTCGTCGATTTTCAATATATTTCTATTTGATTCATTTCTAAAGATTTCATCATAAATTTCTTATTTAATTAACAATCCCAATTTCTTTGGTATTAAGTTTATTTAAGTTCATTATTTCGTTGACTTTGTTTTAATCATTTTGCAAGGCGCTAGTTTTCCTAATTAACTGTGACCGATTCGCCAAAAAGAAAACACATCGGCCAAAAGCCGGGTGTCTTCAACACACAAATGATGCAAGCCAAATGGGTTTTAGACACAGAAATTTGTCAAGGGGCCGCTGCCAAAGTAAGCTCACTTACGGAGTAATAAGCCAAATTGCCCCGATTTATTCCGAGTTGTTAACGCTTTTCAACGACGCAACAGCAGCAGCAGCAACCATAAAAAAGTAAGGAAAGGCTTATGCCCCTAGAAACACTTGAAAAAAATATAGAAATACCAATGGGAAAATATTTACAAGAACCTTAATTCAATTTAAAAATAATCACAGAAGTAAGATTTAGCTTTATAATTTCTTTATTAACTATAGGGAAACACTAAGTAAGCAATATTTTGAGTATCCCATGTTTTTCATAACTTTTCCAATAGTAAAAACCAAAAACAAGTTAGCTAAAAGAAAAACAAAACTAAAAGCAACCAATAGAAGCTAATTGATAGCAAAACAACATCACTTTTACTCTCACCTGCCGGCAACAAAGTTGTTTTTCAACTCAAATTGCTACAAAATAAACAACCAGTCCGATATATGATAATTTGGCAAAGGGAAATGAACTAGAATCAAAGGCTTTAAATAATTAGAAAGCCCTTTATTTTTGCTTTATCACCCTAAACCGGCAAATGCAAATTTCTTTGAATTGCTAAAACAAGTTCAACGATCAAGGAACTTAGTCACTAATCCATTTGCTAAGCAAATGCCAAATGTTAATCGTCTGATTGATATTAAATATATTTCAGATATATACTTTAGTTAATATGCAGAGCAACACACATCTTAAATCAAAAGCTAATCAACATTGTGTCAGTTTTATGCCCTAATTTCGGAATATTTTATATTGAAACATAAACAAATTTTGTGGCCAGGAAGGCACCCAACCACCCCCCCTAAACTACGCTTCTGATTTACACATATAAACACAGATTTTTCTTTTATATTTATGAATATGAATGAATTTATTTGTTGCCCGGTGAGAGGCCAGCAACAATTTCAGCATTTTATTAAGAAATCGTATT